GTCCTAGTCCCCAGAGTGCAGCAGCTGACAGTCCAGGGCAAAGCATGGATTCAACTGACCACAACGCACAACATAGTAAAAGACAAACTCTCAGGGAGCAGTGAAGCGGTGGTGGCCATAGAGTTGTTTGCTGTCATCACAAAAGTGAAAGGGCATGCATGGCGAAGGAGTGGTCCCTTTCCACCACTGGGCAAATATCTGACTATAACGCTCTTTGTTTCAAATCTCTAGAGCCTCTCAGTTATTGTATAACTCAGCAGGGGACTTCAGCCTCTCACATTCTCATCCAAGACTCCATTCTTAGTATACCCATCCTAAACTCACAGTCCGAGACCACACCTAGTAGGGCTGATCCACATCCAAAATGTGCTTCTGGGTCTTTTCTCTGTAGGAATGTCCTTGTTCTCAGGCCACGCACCCCCGGCACTCGATGGTCAAGACTCAGGTAAGACATTACCTCTGGGCAGCCTTGTCCTTCTCATCCCTTCCAAGGTTAATTATCCCTCCCTTTCAGTACAATCAAATACTTTGTTCCAACTAATACAACTGTTTTAGCCTGGAATAATACTCTAGGAGCAATACTAGACTGAACTCTTAAGAGCAATAATAACAGGGCTGTTAGTGTCAATATTTCAAATGTCAACCAACCTCTAGTGCCCTCAAGCAGGTCATTTGGACAAGTTAAGGCACCAAGTTTCCCTGTGTCTGGTTAGAGTTACACCAACCAAAGTTTCCTAATGAAGGGGAAAGAGAAAAATACTGCATATGCAGGTACCTGAAAGGTGTCAAATAAAGATCTGGCAAATGGATGGGTGATAAAAGAGAAATGTTGGAAGGCAAAAGTTTCAAATTCAGCTATTACATTGGAGGGGGAGAATGTACATAGTGGCCCACTCTGCGCTTGTTTAGCTGGCCAGTAAGCTCATTGGAGGCCGCGTGGTCTTTCTTCTCTCATCCCCAGTACCTGGCAGAGATTTCTTCTATAGGCAAAGCAAGATGCAGGACTGATTTGAGATGAGACAGACACCACTACCTGAGCATCCCAGAATCTGAAGCGGATTCATACTCTGTGGAACATTACAGACAGGGAGCATCAGGAGCCATAGGGAGGAAAGAAAGGAAGGAACCTAGAGACAGAAGGACAGAGGCGTGTAGGTGACTCAGGCTGACAAGTGGCAGGCGGACACCTTTGCCCCAGCCAACCATTTCATGGCTGTTGTCTTTCCAGGGCCTTTCTATATTGCTGTGAAGACAGGACTTTCCAAACTACGTCCAATGGCCATCTAACTTCTTTCCAGCAATTTACACATTGACTATATCGTGCCTCCGATTCTCTAGCAGGACCAAGTCCTATCTTCTAGTGAGTTTGAACCATCCCCCTTCATTTCTGAAGTGTCAACCTAAGATTAAATTTTAGAGATAGAATGATATTTGTCCTCACATATTACTTTACGCCACCTACACCTGCTTCCCTAAAGTAACAGGTAACAGAAGAGACTTGCTCATAGGATGTGTTCACTTTTGTGAAGCACGGCAGTGGACACCTTCTAACTCCATGGCTCATGACTTTGGGGTAGAGGATCTATTGCCTGTTTACACCCACATTAGGCTTCTACCTAGCTGAACAAGCAGGCAGGTCACTCAGTCTTTCTGAAACTCAGCTTCTTTACCTGTAAATTGGGGGTAATGCTGTATCCACACCTCAGAGTGAGATGAGGCTTCAAAGAGAAATCATGTAGCATGCACTGTGCACACATAAGCCCTCAACTGACCAATGCTGGCTGCATTTTTCCTGAAGCGAGGTGACGAGATTCAGACTATGTAGCTTCAGCATCTGAACTGAAATCTCACAGCTGCTTCTCAGCTCTGTAACTGGGGCAGCTTCTTAATCTATTGTGCTTCAGTTTCTTCAACCCATGCGAAAGATGTATCAACATACTCCCTCATCAGGTAAATGGCATTTGTGACAGTCTTCATTACTGCCTGATGTGTAGTAAGCCCTCAATAAACAAGAAGCGTGTTACAGGTGATAGCAATAAAGGTAAATAGTATACTAGAAATAATACACCACTGGGCTGTGGACCAACAGCTAAGTACTGGTGAGCATGATCCAGCTCCACCTTTCACATTTGTGAAAGCACTCTTCAAATCCCTGCTGGGGTCTTAGGTAGCAGCAGACAGAAGGAACCCCTCCTTGCTGCTCTTCCCTATTTTGCCCAGTCCCTAAGTCAGAGCAATAGGGCCCCAAGCCCACAAGCTTCAGAACACTACACACAGCCTCAAAGCCACACGTTGTACTTTTACTTTTCCCAAACTCTGGGTAAGCAGTTCATTTTTTCTTAGGGTAAACTTTATACGCCAGGCCTGGTTTGCATTGTTCTTTGCTACTTTTCTTCCCAGCTATTTGAGGATCTTAGGCAGGGCTGTCCAAAAGGCTCCCAGCAAAAACTCCATCCCTGTTACCTATGGAGCCCAAACACATTTCACTAGGTCTAACTTGGAATCTAAAGAGAGCGTGAGAGCTAGGTGCAGTGGGATCCCTGCTCCCCAGTAGGGCAAATGTAGTCAGAAAACAAGCACATGTACCGGTGAGGTTTCTTAGGAGCATGAATTTGCTGAAGTGAGATACACTTCCCTCTCACAAAACTAGGCTCTCATCCTGGGAAATACGGATAACATGCCAAGCCAAAACAGGTGATGAATTACATCAACTGCACTGGGCCCTATAGCAGAGAAATCAGACTCAGCTTACCCAAATGGGCTTCACAATTCTCCCCTAGCTGGGCAGACCATCATTTTCACACGCAGAATTGCACAGAACCCACCAATTTCTGTCAGCGCTCCAGCACTGGCAAAAGAAACAATAAAACTTTCCCCCAAAGCCAGCCTCTGCCAAGCCACCAAACACTTATCTGAGAAAACAAGAGGTCAACTGCGTCTGTGTTCTTAGGGTCTCCTGGAAATTGCTATCTGCCGGATAAGAGCATCAGAGCATCTAAGACTCATCCCCCATGGGGGGTTTGCATCGGTGCCGAAGCCGGTCTTTACAGAAAAGACAGCCACAAGTTGACATTTCCAATTTGATATGAAACATGTAATCATCCAAAAATTCCTGACACCCATTTGTGTCCAACTGGGGGAAATGATAGCAGATCACACATTAGGTAATATAAGGGGGAACTCTGGAACAAAAAGAATGTAAAATGCCACTCTGATTTTACGTAACATCCTTAGTGGAAGCCAGAAGCACATAAACAATAATTACTAAGTTTTCAAATTCCCTGCATAGACCACTGTCTGTTTGTAAATATCTCATAAACACTTGTGGGGTGTGTTTGAAGGGAAAGTTGAAAATGATATAAATATTTTACATTTTACTACACCATTTTTAAAATAAGAATTCCCTGCAGCAGTAGAAGAAGGTAGACCAAGAGCCGACTTCACTTTCAGAATTTCCACACAAGCATTCACCCAACAGATGTTAAATTCTGCTGTGCCCTGGACACTATTTTATCATTTCTATCACACAATAATTTAATGAGGCTTTAGCCTATCTGCCAACTAGAGACTGTCCCCATCTGACTACACTACAATCAGTAGGTTTAATGTTTATTCCAAAGGTAGAGAAATACAGTAAGAGAAGGAAGAAGTGTTTCGTTTTTCCAAATGTATCGGGACCCAGATGAAGTTCTCAGTCCTTCTTCTCAGTGAATAACACTAGTGTTCAGTCAGAAGGCGGGAGAGGGGGGCTTGCCTGCATCTGGGGGAGCTCACGGCCTTTTCTGATGGTGTGAATAACCACTCTGGATGAATCGAATCCCTCGCAAAGAAACACATGCAAAAAAGGGCATTTCTTTCCATTTGTACACCCTGGGCTGCAAGAACAGAAGTCATCTTTGACACAGCACACCTGCCGTGGATGAATCCGGTTAGGGGCAGAAATCCCGAGAGGGGCCTCCTATTTGTGTAAGTGCAGTTTTTATCCAAAAAGTGGTAACCAGAAAGTTCATGCAACTTGAATGTTTAAAATGAGAAGAGTCACGGGCAGAGGGACAGAAAGAAGTGGGCCTGCAAAAAGAGTGCAGATGTGGGTGCAGATGAGGGATGGGAGGGTGCAGAGTGAGCTCCTCTGGGCTTTGTTCTTAAAACAGAGACCGGACACCTCCTTTCCACTTGGGCTCTGGAGGCTGATGTCCATTCCCGGGGCAGCTAAGGGGAAAACTCAAACATCTCCCAAGGAATCCGCGTCAGTGCCCCGCTCCCTTTTCGAAATTGCTGATCCCAGGTGCCAGCTGCTGGGAGACCCCAAGGCATTTGGCTGCCTCCCGGAAGGGCTTTTGCCCGCACCTGAAGCAGACATTCACTCTAAACGGAGCTTTTTAGCCCACACTGGGGCTGAGGTCCCTGAGTGGTTGAGCTTCCTTGGCAACAGTTTTCCAGCCGGAGAAGTACTGCAAATGCCTCCCGGGGAAACGTTCAGCAGGACCGTGGGCGTGGGAGTCAGGGACACTGAAGGAGACTCAGCCGGCCCTGGACAAGGCTGGGGGTGGGGTGGGACAGGAGATGGGACCAAGAGCAAAGACCGCCAGAGTCGGCCTGAAAGATCTCACGGAGGGAGAAACTTCCCCGAGGGCGCAAGTCAGGATGCCGTCCTGGCCACGGGAGCAGCCCCAGTTCCCGGAACAGGACAGGTGGTGTGGGGCCGAAGAAAGGCGCCTGCGGGGAGATCAGCGCGGCAGACCCGGCGCACAGCGCGGCCGGGCCCAGAAGGTCCAGCTTTGGCCCTGCTTCGCAAGGGTCGCTCTGTGTCGAGGGTCCCAGGAAGCGGAGGAGGAGGGTCTCTCTGGTCCCCTAGGGCACATTCCTGCCACCAGGCGAGGAGGGGACCCCCGCCCAGGCCTGGGAGGGAGGCAGCGGCGCAAACAAAGTTGGGGCGCAGAAAGACTCTGTCGGTGGGTCCCCGCGTCGGTGCGCCCCGCCCGCCGAGCGCCACTACTTACACGAAGACCCCGAAGAGCAGGGCTCGCACCCCGATCTCGATGGCCAGCTCTCGCATGGTGCGGCCGGAGCAGCTCCCGCAGCGGCGGCCGGTGCTCTCCGCGGCTCCCGCGGCTCCTCCGGCGCGGCTGCCAGACCCTGGGCGG